TACGTTTACCCGTCTGCCAGGGTTTAGATTCTCAAAGCTTCATAAGTTAGTTTTCCTCTCAATCGGGGATGTATGGACATTAGCTGCTCATAGCTACGACAAAGATGGTATACCATATGCAGAGACAGTGTGACCGTTGACTCGACTGTGTTGTGGTTTTATTTGTAAGAGTACGCTCATTAGAACCCTTACCTGGGTGTGTGTGTGTGTGTGTGTGTGTGTGTGTGTGTGTGTGTGTGTGTGTGTGTGTGCTCATCTGAACAGAGACCTATACCTCATCATCACCACCAGGAGCGAGAGATAGTGGGGGGCGGGCAGGGAAGGGGGCTGGGCTGGGGCAGGTCATCAACCCAGGGAGGGACGTGTTACGTTGTGTTGCTTGTGTAGGGTGGGAGGAGGGGCACACAGGAACAGAATAACACTAAACAACCTGCAAAATCATTTACGTGGGAGAGGGAGTGGGTGGGGAGAGGAGATATAGGGTGAGGGGGCCATTATTTCCTGTCTGCTGAGAGAGAGTGGGCAGGCAGGTTTGGGACCCACCTGTCGTAACTACGGCAGGAAAGGTACCTCATTAGTGCGTCACGTACCACCACACAGGTATAAGACACTCATTATAATCGATACAGGTAAAGGGACGGGAAGAAATGGGTTATCAAGGGTGATTGAGGGGGTGATGGAAGGGGTTAGGGAGAGGTGGTTTTGGTTAGAGTTGGAGTCAAGAGGGACTTGTTGGATTACGCTATGTTGGGTTGGGTTGGGTTGGGATGGGATGGGTTGGGTTGGGTTGGGTTGGGATGGGATGGGATGGGATGGGTTGGGTTGGGATGGGATGGGATGGGATGGGTTGGGATGGGTTGGGATGGGTTGGGATGGGATGGGATGGGATGGGATGGGTTGGGTTGGGTTGGGTTGGGTCTAATCTTCAGGTGAGTAAGACTAGGTTACGTTGGGTGGTCTGTTATGATCAATTTACGTTAAAGTCTTGGATTGGTTAAGTTTGGTTACTAATCAACATTAGGCTAGGTTTGGGTGGGGCTGTTTCACCTGTGTTACGTGAGTTTAGAACTGTTGTTGATAAATCTCGCCCAAGACAAAGATTACAACCGCTGGCGTCTGGGAGTTCGGCTTTGGCTTTGAAGTCCTAGGGCTGCCATGATTTCTTGCCCAAACGAGCCTCAACCGCCAAGTTAACGTGTTTCGTTATAATATATCGGTGTTTCCTCGTGTATTAGATTAAGTGACATAATTTGCATGAGTGAAACACAATCTGTAAAATAGTTGAACGTTTAATGTTTATTTTAAAAAGTTTATATCGGTCTTATAAATATTCATATATAATGGAATATCAAGAGCGACGTTTATTTCATTATGATTTTATTGCAATTTCGCAGTTTTAGAAAGTAACTGGCATACCAACAAATGTAAAAAGCGTTTTAATTTAAATAAAAAAATAGTATCATTATAGGAGTAGTATATCAGCGCTAATTTCTTGATACGGTAATTAATTACCTCTTCATCATTAACTAAATCAATATATTTTACATGACATGAAACAAAAAGTGTAAGATTAAAACGAGCGATGCTTATTTTAAAATAGACGGCAGAAACGTGTAAGCCATATATCCAAACTGAACCATTGTAAGGAGGGCGGCTGCACCCCGCCTGTGACTGACATCTTAATCCAAATATTTTCCTGGACTGTCACTGGCAAGACCGTGCAAGCGACGAAAGTTTAACAGGAATGGTAATAATAAATTTTTGTTGTGTGAATTTTTTGTCTTACTATGTACGAAAAATCTTAGTTTACCTCAGTTTTATTGAATAATTTTAGGTTACAGCACCACTATGCCAGTGGCCCGCCATGTTTACGTATACAAATTACGAAGTGCGTTTGGCAGGTCAATTAAGTTTACACAGGCACCTTAGCCGGCAATTTTGACTGTCCCCTAGTACAATATTGTACAAGCGGATATTTTTCGGGTCAATCGACTGCTTAAAATTCATTATTATTAGTATTATTATTATTATTATTTTTATTACAGGTATTACTTGGAAATTATTACCACAACTGTTTATGGTTATAAGTATTTTGTTATTAAAATTATTCTCATTATTATTATAATTATTATTGTTACTAATTATCCTTATACTTTTTGTAACCATTAATATAATCATAATTATGTACTGTATATTATTAACTATTAATTGAATTCATACGATTACTCTTTTTACCATTTATTTTCTATTATTTAAAAACAATATGAAGCACTAACCACAACTCTTAGTTCTTCATTATAAAAACATCAACAAGTAGCAGTATATTGTACACCGCTCATCCGTGAAGGTGGTGGTGTTCGTCAGCTGGTAACGCGGATTGATGCAGTCCAGAACGCTGACAATACTGACGAGAACGAAGAAAAAAATGGATTCTTTATGATGACCATGAAAGAGAGATTTTCACCAACTAAAACTTTAATTTACTGATACTTTCTCTTATGATAAAACTCTTAGTATATGTACAGTGAGTTGAAACTTTGTACCGAGAAATCAAAACTTTTTACAGAGGCAAAGTTTCAAACGCCAGAACTGAGTCAAAGTTTCAAAAGCTAAAACCGCGTCAAAGACTCAAAAGCTTGAATTGAAGTAAAGTTTCAAAAGCTAAAGCTGAGTCGAAGTTTCACACCGACAGATAAATCAACACTAAAAGCTACAGCGGGTGTTTCAGGTGACCTGGACTGTATAATGATATGTCCCTTCACCAATTAAGAGGTAAGTACCGGTAATATTCCTTCATTAAGAGGTAAGTACCGGTAATATTCCTTCATTAAGAGGTAAGTACCGGTAATATTCCTTCATTAAGAGGCAAGTACCTGTAATATTCCTTCATTAAGAGGCAAGTACCTGTAATATTCCTTCATTAAGAGGTAAGTACCGGTAATATTCCTTCATTAAGAGGCAAGTACTGGTAATATTCCTTCATTAAGAGGCAAGTACCTGTAATATTCCTTCATTAAGAGGTAAGTACCGGTAATATTCCTTTATTAAGAGGCAAGTACTGGTAATATTCCTTCATTAAGAGGCAAGTACCTGTAATATTCCTTCATTAAGAGGTAAGTACCGGTAATATTCCTTCATTAAGAGGCCAGTACCGGTAATATTCCTTCATTAAGAGGCAAGTACCTGTAATATTCCTTCATTAAGAGGCAAGTACCGGTAATATTCCTTCATTAAGAGGCAAGTACCTGTAATATTCCTTCATTAAGAGGCAAGTACTGGTAATATTCCTTCATTTAGGGAGTAAGTACCGGTAATATTCCTTCATTAAGAGGCAAGTACCTGTAATATTCCTTCATTAAAAGAGTAAGTACCGGTAATATTCCTTCATTAAGAACTGAAGTACCTGTAATATTCCTTCATTATTAAGAGGCAAGTACTGGTAATATTCCTTCATTAAGAGGCAAGTACCTATGTATTCATCATTAAGAAATAGAGTACTGGTAATATTCCTTCATTAAGAGGTAAGTACCGGTAATATTCCTTCATTAAGAGGCAAGTACTGGTAATATTCCTATATTAAGAGGTAAGTACTGGTAATATTCCTTCATTAAGAGGTAAGTACTGGTAATATTCGTATATTAAGAGGTAAGTACTGGTAATATTCCTTCATTAAGAGGTAAGTACTGGTAATATTCCTATATTAAGAGGTAAGTACTGGTAATATTCCTATATTAAGAGGTAAGTACTGGTAATATTCCTTCATTAAGAGGTAAGTACTGGTAATATTCCTATATTAAGAGGTAAGTACTGGTAATATTCCTTCATTAAGAGGTAAGTACTGGTAATATTCCTATATTAAGAGGTAAGTACCGGTAATATTCCTTCATTAAGAGGCAAGTACCGGTAATATTACTTCATTAAGAGGTAAGTACCTGTAATACTCATTTAATAATCAGAAGGTAAATCAAATATTCCCACACTAATTAGGAGATAAATACCTGTACTGTATCGACATCTAAACAAATAGAAAAATGATCACCTGAAGATTAACCATCCTAACTTATTTCACCTGAAGATTAACCACCCTAACTTATTTCACCTGAAGATTAACCATCCTAACTTATTTCACCTGAAGAGAAGTTACTGAATATATAAATAATAAATAAACACCAAATTAACGTATATTGATGAAATGAATAAATGAGTAATGAAGAATTTAATAACTGAGTAAATTAATCAGAATATCAGTAAGTAAAATAAACTTATAAATAACAATGTGTACGAGGTAGTTAGTATGACAGTTGTAAATAGTACTAGTAAGTAATTCAACCCAAGGGAGACTTAAATCGGCTTCCCACGCTTTGATTTTTCTTAATAAAACTTCATAACTTGAGAAACTGTATGTGAAGTTACCTGCATTGTTTATAAATTAAGGCCCATCATTTTTTACTATTCAGAGAACTAGTATTATGGATAATTACCTAAGGAAATGATAAATATATTTCTTTTCAATTATTTTAACTGGTCTGTATATTAGGACAATGATGTAGTTAAGCGTAATACAAACAATAGATTAATTGCATGATTACTAACCTAACTTAACCTTATCTTATCTAGCCTAATGTGGACATGGGTATACCGTGGTTTGGTTATGATAGTAAACGATGTCGAGTGAATGAATAAATTTTATCATATATGAATTAATTTCCACTAAGTTAAAGCAAAACAAAATATCCCTACTTGGCTAAAACATCAGGTGAGTATTTAGATTTGATCGGGATGTTGTCTCTAAAAGGCGTCACATAATAAACTGTATTTTAAACTTAACACTTACCCCTGCAATACGCAACACAGGCACCGCCCCACCGTGCATGTCACCACCCACCAGTAAAGCCTGCAACAAACACACACAAATGCCAGACTCTCCTCCCCACCGTCACAATCTGCCAATGCATCTCCGCCCTCAACTGTGGATGTTGACAAGTAATTGAAGTACTTACTCGTCCTTGTCGAAGGCCTTGAAGCACGCATCCATGTCTAGGTAGAGAGGGGAGTCGTCGGGCTGTTCAATTTCCTCCTCACAGCCGTTCACTTCCCTCAATTCCCCAGGTTTCGTCTGTCCGTCGCAGACAGGAGCGGCGTGCGCGGGCGTGTTTCCTTCACCAGGCGTGGCAGGCAGGGGCGTGGGTTCTTGTTGGGCGGCGTGTGCGGTCAGTGGAGGGCGTGAAGGAGGCGTGGTCTCATGTTGTAGTGAGGGGTGTGTCGGTACTGGCGTCTGGCTTTGCCAAGGAGGCGGCTCGGCCATCGTGCTCAGGTAGTCGACGCACGCGCGCTCTGCACTACCTCCTTCCCTCCTCACGCACGCACACACACTTCAGTTGTTGCCACCACCACCTCCGACCTGCAAAAACAAGGAAAGTTTAACCTTATATATCGAACAAAAAGTTTTGTAACTCTCAGATATTACTTTAAGATAAGTGTCCTTCATGTAGGGCGTCTGTAATGATGGCAGAAACTGGGCACTACGTCACTACCTCTCAAAACTGTGACGAGGCTTTGATCAAAAAGTTCTAAGTTGCTCTCGAATTCTGATCAAAGTGGTTTAAGAAAGAACATATCACTCTTACATACATCTCCTCCACATGTGGTATATGTAACAAACGTTATCATACGGTGGCGTAACTTACATAACCACGTGTAAAATTACGACTGTCATGAATGTCCAAATTTTAGTCTGAAAAAAAAATGGTCAGTCAGGACATAATTATCCTCGTAGATTTATAGGCATTACCTGTACGTCTTCCCCCTTAGTATCATAGCTTACGTGAGTCTGCTAGATGTGACCACCTCACGCCTCCAGTAACGAGGGGTGGTGAGGGGGAGGGGAGGGGTTAACGGACCACATGAACATTAGGCACCCCATCTTATTTCATCTGAATATTAACCACTCTAATGCTAACCTAACTTAACTAACCTAATCTAACCCTGACCTAATCTAACTACCCCCAAAGAGCAATGACAAAAAAAGACCTGACCCCTAACACTACGGGAAACGGTACCCTAATTGACGAGAGAGAGAGAGAGAGAGAGAGAGAGAGAGAGAGAGAGAGATGTTGTTTGTTTACGTTCCAGGACTACAAGCAGTAATAACTAGACTATACTTATGTTATAACAACCATCACCACCACAATAACCTTCTCTACCACACAACCACAATAATCTCCAACACACTACCATAACCAATATCCTCACCACACTACCACACACAAAAAATAACAGCTACCATAACCAGTACCACCACAACCACCTACTACTACTACTATCCCCACCACCACATCTACCCCAATATTACCACCACCACCACCACAACTATCCCCACCACAACCACCAAAACTATCCCTAATTACCACTACCACCACAACTATCCCCACCACAACCACCAAAACTATCCCTAATAACCACTACCACCACAACTATCCCCACCACAACCACCAAAACCATCCCTAATAACCACTACTATCCCCACCACAACCACCAAAACCATCCCTACCACCACTACAACTAACCTCACTAACACCAGTACCATAACCACCCCCCACTACCACAATCACAACTATTCCCAACCAACATCACAACCACCACTCGTGAAGTCCTGTATGTATACCTGAAATAGCAAGATGTGGGGAGAGAAGCCAAAGCTGTTCAATAACCCGGCTTTATGAGCACCTGTTGGCGGGTTACGGTGTGGAGTTCTCACTGTCAACAAGGGGCAGCAGAGTAGGTGTCAGATACGCCCATTATTACAGGGTGTCAAATAGGTTAAAGACTCATTAATAAAGGGTGTCATATAGGTTCAAAGTCCCATTATTAGTGTCAAATAGGATAAAAAAAACATTACAAGGTGTCAAATAGGTTCAAAGCCCCATTATTACAGGGTATCCACAGCTTTCTTAGGCCATACTACTAATGGGTGTTCTATTGGATTCCACTCAAACTGTAGTCTTAGCATTATTTTGACGCCGTTTTTTTTTATAATAACGTTTGTGTGGTGTTAGTTTTAGTTTAGTCTCTTCATTTTATGTATCCAGGGAGATGAGAAATTCAACTAACGGTCTTCTCGGAATTTGTCTTGCTACACTTAATAGATCCTCTTCCACGAACTTGGGAATTATGGTACAAAAAATGTGTGTGTGTGTGTGTGTGTGTGTGTGTGTGTGTGTGTGTGTGTGTGTGTGTGTGTGCTTTCCATCATTCACTCAAGTCGTTAATTCACTTCTATACACTACTTGCTTCCCCACTACGTTAAGTCTCTTTCTTAGTTACACTAAACACGTGGGATCCTAACTCACTGCTCACACACACACACAGGAGGATACACTAATCGCCTCGGAATCCCACACGCGCATCTGTACCGTAATTCAACCAGTAAAGGAAACAATAATCATAATTTATAGTGAGGACGCGGGCGGTGTTATGTATGGGGGAGGACTGTAGGAAGGTTATAGTTATCTCTACACTTACTGGATGTTTATACGCGTTTTAGGCACAAGTTGGGTGTTCTGGGGAGTCCTGTAGGATACTGGAGAGTCCTGTAGGATACTGGAGAGTCTTTTAAGTTATAGGAGAGACTTGAAGGCGCCTACAGGATTCTGGAGATTCTTCAAATTCTGGGAGAGGTGCGAAGGTCAACGTTCCCGTGGGAGAGAGAGGCGCGAGAGAAGCGTGCGGCAGGGAACGAGACGGACTACACACTGAATAATAGCAACACATCAGTGCCGCCACCAGCAGGCGTCCCACAAGGGGAGTGTCCTGAAGCCGACCTTGATCATCACTGTGTACACCTGACGACGCCCTCCTCTCCTTGAACCAGTCCCTGCCCCTGTGACAAATACTATCCTCCTCCTACCCGTGTACTTCCTCCTTATACCTGCACCTCCCTCCTTATACTCTTATCACCCTAGTCCCCGCTCTTCCGTACTACGTGTATCTCCCTCACTATACACCTGACACTCCCTCTCACACCCTCATCGCCAGCACTCCCACCACCTTCTTTATCACGACTTTCACACGACACTAAGGTAACCAGATTCAGAAAGATTCTTACGGTGAATACGCCTCCTAAGTGAAGAAGCATTCCTGAGACATACATAAGGATAAATAACCTCATAACAATAGTGTCAATACCCCATAGATTCGGAGTTATAACACATGACATATGGGGTTGGAATATGATAAAACCAATTGAGTATAAATAACATATCCAGTGTTGCTAGTACGATTTATTTACAATCATATGCAATCTAATACAACCCTCTTCCTGAATGTCACCAGACTCACCACCTACTTTTAATAGGGCTTTATATTTTAGGTTTCATGCCCCTAGACGTGTTGCAGTCCTCCCCCCTTACCCAATGTTGTGGTATAACTCTGAAACTATGAGGTATTGACACTATGATCATTGAGGCATTTTATCATCCTTACGTATGTCTCAGGAATACACCCCCCCCCCTGAAGTATGACACGTATATCTCAAGCACCCTGTATATATATATATTTGATTTATCTGTCACTTCACACACACACACGCACGCCATTGTCACCCACCAACAGCCTCTTCTTCTCTGATAAGCCACTTGATGCCATGCTAGCCACTCCTTCACGCACACTACTACTGCTTCCTATCTATCTATCTGTTTACTCTGCGTTTCTCTTATATCCTCTCTCTCTCTCTCTCTCTCTCTCTCTCTCTCTCTCTCTCTCTCTCTCCCTCCTGTACCCTTGTATATATAACACACTCGCTCACAGTAAACCTTAGTCAGCTGTTGGTCTTCCACCTTCACAGTGTCTTCTCATTTCACTCTTTCTGATTATTTGGGGAGGTATATTCTCTTTACCATACACATATACATACATACATATACTGTACATACAACCAAACTCATATTCATACAACTTACACCACACATACAACACAACACATACACAACACACATACACCACACAACACAATACATCCTGGTGTGGTCATATCATGGAGAGGATTTTCCCAGAACAGCGACTGGCCATCACCACCACACTCTTCACCTCAGTGTAATCCCTAAGTTTTCATGGCCTCCCTCACGCTAGTCTTCTTGTATACCTCTTAACTCCTCCTACCACCCCACACGATAGCATTCTCACGGTGGCTCACTGGCTATCACCCTCAACCTGACAATCCACTAGTTCCCGGGATCGACTCTCCATTAGGGGGAGGGGAGATGATATGTGTTTTTCTTAACTCTCAGTTTGTGTGATATATGGAGCCAGATCCCACACGTCACCCTGGTTTAGTGTACGAGTTTGAGCGACATAACCAACCCACTTCCTCGACGTTGAGTCTTCTATTCCTTCTAACTACAGAAAAACAATAAACAAAAAACAGTCTCGCCCTCTCAGACACTACTTAAAAGTCCATCTCGCCTCGTCCTTGAGCAGCAGTTAAGAGTAAAAGTCGACAATCGCACATTTTCACCAGCTGGCCATTAATGTGTCAGTGTGGTCAGGTGGCTGCCACGGACGCTCTTAACCTGCCATTACCACATGACGAGAGGGAAGAAGCTTGGCTGATTGACCCACCTTCACAAGCCTCACAGAGTTGTATGTTATTTATCGATATTGACGATGTTAAGAGCGCCTTTAACTGGTTAACTTAAACTAAAATGTAATATATGATGACATAAAACATCAGAGTTACAGACACATTATACCTTAACTAGATGCATTCATTTAATACTAGTTAGGAGACAAAATATAAGTGATACGATTACTGAGCACTACACACACACACACACACACACACACACACACACACACACACACACACACACATACATACATACACACACACACAAATATTTTCCTCCTAAACAGCAACAAGTCCATCGTAAAAAGACAATCACCAGGAGCCCGGAACTCACCAGAGGCAAGAAGACAACAGCACAGTCCACAGGTCAGGCCACGACACGCGAGTCTTGAGGACACCCAAGGTCAAGGAAAGGTCACAGGTCACAAAGATGGAGACTGGCCGAGATAAGGTGATGTTATGTGTTGGGGGTAGATTATCACCTGGAAGAGATAAATTAATAAGATAAATTACAAGAGAGAGAGAGAGAGAGAGAGAGTCATATTATCATTCTGGGGTTCAAGTCTCAAAAAGGTGTTCATACGTTCAACTTTCATCTTAATTGGTGACTAATGAGAACACATCTACCTTACCTAATAACCAACAGAATGCGGTTAAAATGGTGTTGAAGATGCACTTACAATCTTTAACTAGACCCTTTACTCTTGCCTCCTGTTATTGAAAGAACACAAGACAAGAGGCGACCACTGACAGCATTCCGTCGCACACGAAATAAGTAAAAATCCTCACGTATCTTCACATTATCAGTCAGGTCAAGTAGAGGCGAGTATTAAACCGAACAAACGTAATCAATAATATATTTGCATGCTAGAGATCACCTGAAGATTAGTTACCACAGCTTATTTTACCTGAAGATTACAGTCACTACCTGGGGGTTAGGTATGGTGAGGTAGGGCAGGGCAGGGCAGAGTAGGGTAGGTTTGGTTAGCGTTAGGTTAGGTTAAGTTTTGCGTTAAGTTAGATTAAATTAACGTTAGGCTAAAGGGTAGTTAATATCCAGGTGAAATAAACTGGGTGTTTAATTTTCATGTGATCCAATGTTAGAGAGCCTTGGCAAGAGGCTTATGAGCTTGTACTTGTAGACAGCTTGCAGGAACACCAAATATGACTTCACACACACAAACATTACAACACACGTGAAGCAGCTCAAGGTCGACGGGGATGTTAGGGTGTATTACTGTGTTCCAACAACTAAGGTATCCTAACTCCTTCACTACTAGACGCCACTTTTAAGGATCTATTTGGCTTAACACTCGACGATTTCATTCAGCACGACCCATCGCCCCCAGGAGTTAAAGCACGTGTTCTAGGTTAGTTAATACACATACAGTATATATTCACACACACGTTTAAATGCTTCTTCTACAATATTCGTTTCATTCATGTTGTTTATATGTATTTTTGTGCTACAACATCTAAGGTCTTTAAGCCCGTACTCTAAATAAGTGTTGCAGTTTAAAAATAAATTAAGTTTAACTCACTAAATCAACAGTTTTCCGAGCGTTGCTGTACTGAGGGCGAGACGATGACGAGAACATAGATTATTTACCATCCCAGAAACTTGACCCACAACCTGGGTTTGTTTTTATTGAGGGGCACAATTATGATGTGGTATATCTCGACTTTAGCAAAGCCTTCGACAGAGTCCCCCACGAAAGACTAATTAGAAAGGTAGAAGCGCATGGCATCAAAGGTAATATCCTTAAATGGATTAGGGAGTGGTTACAGGACAGGAAACAGCGAGTGAGCATTAACGGCACTAAATCGCATTGGAGCAACGTCATTAGTGGAGTTCCCCAAGGCTCAGTACTTGGACCATTATTATTTATTATATACATAAACGACATAGATATCGGCATAGACAGCAGCATAAGTAAATTTGCTGATGACACTAAAATAGGACGTGTAATTAAATCTGACGAGGACTGCAAAACTACAGGAAGATCTAAACAAATTTTTTGAATGGTCGGAAAAATGGCAGATGAAATTCAATGTGGACAAATGTAAAGTACTCAGTATAGGAGATGTAAACAGGGAAACCAGTTACCAGATGAGCAATGATGCCATTGTGGAATCCGACTGCGAGAGAGATTTAGGAGTAATGATAAGTAGGAATCTTAAGCCAAGTAAACAATGTGTTTTTTCTCGTAACATGGCTAATAAAGTACTTGGGTTCATACAAAGGAGTGTTAGTTACAAGACTAGCGAGGTCATCTTAAAATTATATCTAGCGCTTGTGAGACCTCACCTGGATTACGCAGTTCAGTTCTGGTCACCGTATTACAGAATGGATATAGAATCCTTGGAAAGAATCAAGAGGAGAATGACAAGACTAATCCTTGGCATTAGGGACCTTGAATACAGAGACAGGTTAAAGCATCTTAATTTGCACTCCCTCGAGAGACGTAGAGTGAGGGGCGACATGATAGAGGTGTATAAATGGAAGTCAGGGTTAAACAAAGGGGACATTACAAAGGTACTCAAACTATCCAACCAGGAGCGAACTCATAACAATGGTTTTAAATTAGACAAATTTAGATTTAGGCGCGAAATAGGTAAACACTGGTTGGGAAAGAGAGTAGTGGATGAATGGAAGTTACCAAATATCATCATTAACTCGAATACGCTGGATAGCTTCAAACATAGGTTGGATGCTTATATGAGCAATAGGGGTTGGGTATAAACGGGACTGCCCAGTATGGGTCAATAGGCCAGCTGCAGTTTCCTCCATTCTTATGTTCTTATGTTATGTACGTATTACGAGGGACACACACACACACACACACACACTAGTTTTCAGTAATACGCGACTGGTAACATTCCACATCAACGCGTAATGTTTGAATTGGATGTTGACATACTGCTCGGAGGTACTGTTTAATGTTTTGATATATGACGCGTTTAATGGACCACTGTTACACTGGCAAACTTTGTGACCGTAGCTATTCACTGTATCCGCTCACTATAACCATTTACTGTAACCGCTCACTATAATCATTCACTGTATCCGCTCACTATAACCATTTACTGTAGCTATTCACTGTATCCGCTCACTATAACCATTTACTGTAGCTATTCACTGTATCCGCTCACTGTAATCATTTACTGTAGCTTTTCACTGTAACCGCTCACTATAATCATTCACTGTATCCGCTCACTATAATCATTTACTGTAGCTATTCACTGTAACCGCTCACTATAATCATTCACTGTAACCGCTCACTATAAACATTTACTGTAGCTTTTCACTGTATCCGCTCACTATAATCATTCACTGTATCCACTCACTATAACTATACACTGTATCCGCTCACTATAACCAATCACTATCCGCTCACTATAACCAATCACTGTATCCGCTCACTATAACCAATCACTGTATCCGCTCACTATAACCATTCACTGTATCCGCTCACTATAAACAATCACTGTATCATCTCACTATAACTATACACTGTATCTGCTCACTATAACCAATCACTATCAGCTCACTATAACCAATCACTGTATCCGCTCACTATAACCATTCACTGTATCCGCTCACTATAATCATTTTCTATAGCTGTAGTAAATGTTACCACAGTTTCACAACACACTAGGCTAGGTCCGTCGACTACACTACCTCTCAGGGGCTGGCCATGTGATGATATCCAATCCTGCCTCTGATACCTGAAGCTTGAGTACGATAATTTTTCCCCCCACATACAGATTAGAAAACCCAGGGTATTTCATCTGATGATTAACCACCCTAACGTTAACTTAACCCCTCCAGGAAGCGTTAGGGTGTTTAATCAAGTGAAATAAACCAGGGTGTCTAATCTTTACGTGACCCCCACAACTAGTTACAAGGGAATGGGGTATTTAATCTAGTTATGGCAGTTTAGGGGCAATTTTGATATCATAATTAGCTATCAAGAACTATACATATATAAAGAGAAATATGAAATCCCGCCACATAGTGAAAAATTATCACACGGTTCTTTGATATCTCTGGCCCGGTAAGATTCTAAGAAATGCGTAGGTTGTTTTTAATTTTCTTCCTCGTAATAAAGAATTACATCATCATAAGATAGAATCTCAGTAAAATCTCGATGCCAATGTGTACAAGTTACGAAAGAAATTTAACGCGTACGAAACTGAAAATCCGGTTTCACTTAGGCGCATTGGAACACACGTCACACAGCGAGGCCCCTCTAGGTGGCAATACTGTAGGAGGTAGTCAGCTGAGTGTCTGGACGCGATAACAATGATGAGAAAATTTTGTTCTTTGTTGTCAGTTACACAGATAGCAGGTATCAGCTGACAGAACGTCAGTGTTTGATCACTTGATTTGTAATAAACATTCACACTGAGGTAGAAACAACATTTTGTTTTGTTTCAACCATAAATCACACTAAATTCTTTTCTCGTGCACCAAATTTGTTATGCTTGCAACCAGGCTCACGAAGGTTAACACGTCATCCAACTGGTTGCCATTGTTCTCCAAATGGATACCTGTTGTCTGTATATATGGCAACAGAGGTTGAATTTAACCTTACTTTTATTTGCTTACAGTAACGGAAGGATGCGTAATTTTCACTCACACACACACCCTCGCTTGTTTGTTTACTGTGTGTTTTCAGACCGAGGACGCATATTTTGTGTGTGTGTGTGTGTGTGTGATCAACAGTATTTTTAGTATCAGTAGAATGTACTGTACAGTACTAATTTTTCAATATAACAATATATTTCTCTACGGTGCAGTAATTAGTGCAAACCACAAACAAGTCAATACATTAGTACAACCTGAAGATTTACCACCCTAGAGCTTACATAACCTAACCTAAATCCCCCATGAAGCGTTCGATTGGTTAATCTTCAGGTGGAATAAGCTGGGGTGTCTGATCTTCAGGTGGTCCGTACGCATTATACAGTGCACACAATAACTCAAGAGGCCAGCATCAACTGGACACCACACTTCTCGTCGTCACAATACTAGCCTGAGCCTGAGGTGTTTAATCTGTCACGTGATGCAAAATTTTGTGATAAAACTGACACATCAGTCTTCTCTTGACACTGCATTTCAATGTCAAAATAAATCATTAGTATTGTATTTTTACACGCTAGCAGGAAGTCTTCGTTAACAGTGAATTTTGTCAAGAATCAAGTAGTGTTTATGGATATCTAAATTACGACGAATCTTCTTTTAAGTCAACAAATTATTTTTGTATGATATATTTAGCTGAAATTACCAACTCGATATCTCGAAGTTCTGTATGTAGGATGTAACAAAGGAACACAAATACGGTAATACTGGAGATGGCAAATACCAGAAGGAATTGTTGGATTTCGTTCTTTTTTTTTCCACAGATGTTCTTATCATTATAGTAAGTATTATTTAAATTATTAGTATTTCTTGTCTAACTACGATCACAAATTGTCTGTAGTGGACAGAGAAAAAATTGATCATATGACACTAAAATGATGTCTCTACGTACTTTCTATGCAAAGAAATTAAATATTTACTGTAAAAAATCACCTTCTGCAGCTGCTCGCCTCGCCAAACCCGCGATCTCAATGCTCGTTCGTTTAGACCCCTAAATCATGTATAATAGACAATAGAGCATCTCATTGGGGGTTTTGGTACTCGAGAAAAGCATTCAGATCCTTTGTTGTTGACTAATACCATACCTTTCTTTTGGTGTCTATTAGTGCGCAAATCCCATTTAGTTTTTAAGTGTTGTGCGAATAGTATTAAACTTCTGTGCAATGTAACATAATCATATGGTTGGGATATGACCCATACCTGGAGTTTGGATACCTTTCCATTAAATTTGATGTTTT